ACCCCTTCCCCTTTTATTTCGTGTTAAGAAGGTGTGGTATTAATTGCTTTCAATTTTTAATTTTCCTTCCTACGTTTCCCTGGCACCCCCCTGTCCCTCCTCTGAGGTATCTGCACCCCGGCACCGATCCAGCTTGCAAAACAAAAGCAGGAACGCCTCCGATGACCTTTCTGAGGATGAGCAGAGGGTTGGTTTGCTCATTCCGACGGGACAAAGAGAAAGATTTCAATAAAAGCATCTACCCACACTGGCCCTCGAGCCAGCCACCTTTTGTCCGGCGTGCAGCCCGATGCCGTGCCGCTGGCCGGCACCACGCAGTGCCCCACAACCCAGGGGCACCCGAGGGATCTCCTTCCCTAGCATTTTGGGAAGGTTTGGGAAGACTCTGCAGGCTGCATTTCCTTTGGCCCCCAGCCCAAAGGTCACTGCTGAGCCCCTGCATGGGGAAGGGACTCTCCCTGAGAGACGGGCGCTGCAGCCTGGACTCCTCCTCCCTTCTCCCCTCCTTGGTGTATCGCTTCTCGTCCAAGCTCACTCAACATGGGTTTTTGGGCCACTGTCTCCCAGGAATGGTCCATAGAATTCTTCCCCTTGGCCAAACAGTGGTGCATACCCAAATGCATAGGGCTGGTTGGGGTGTTCCTGTACCCCCAGTTCAGTAGTGCAACCTGAGCTTTGCTAGCGACTCCCTCCTTAGCTCCTGGTGCAATGCCCCACCATGCCAGGACAGGATCACGCTCTCTACACCCTCTCAGAAATGGCCTGCTCATGCCTGCTACTGTCAGGGATCTCCCTTGCACGTCCCTGCTGCCTGTAGTACAGAATAGCAAGATGCTGAAACCCCCTGAGCCCTCTCCATCCTCTGGTCTCCTGGCATGAGGAGGCCACTGGCTGAGGTGGCACCACCAGGAACCTTACTCACTCCCACGGCTAGCAAACCAAGGGCTGGGGGAGAACTCTGCATCTCCTGTGACATTTTTGGGTTTGGCCTCTGAAGTTCAATGCTTTATTTTTCTATAGGGATAGGAAATTACCCCTGAGCAGAGACCAGCTCGCCACCAAGCTTCCAGCCCACCTCTGCACGAGCTGGTCTCCAGCACCTCCTGAAGCTGGAACGAGCTCCAGCACCCGCAATAAATCAGCTGGGCTTTCAAGGAGGCGATGTTCAGACTGTGTTAAAAGGTGGGATTTTTCTTCTCCTCTCCATCCCCAGGGCTGGGAGGAGAAACCAGATGTTGGAGTGCTTTCAGGAAAGGCAGGCTCTTGAGACGTCACATGCGAGCCATATGCATTGGCACCCATCCTCTCTTCCCTCCGGCAGCTCCAGGGATGGGCAGCATCCCCACACACGACACCTGCACCAGTGCCATTGTTCCTGCTGGGTTTTCAGGACCCCCCCCCTCTGAAAAGGACCCAAGAAAGCAGGGCTGCTCTTGAACTGCCCCAGCAGTTCCTCGTCCAGCCACATACGAGGCAGGGAGCGAGGATGGGTTGTTTGCTCCTCAATTGGATCTTCACTGCACAAATGCTACGGGAGGGCAGAAAGTAAAGTGGGGAGGACAGCTTGGAGGCTGTCAACGGGAAGAGCCAAGACAGAAGCATGTACAGCATGTCTGGGCAAACGCAACTCCTCTTCCTCACCTTCTCCTCCTGGGGAAAGCCAACCCATACTCTTGAAGCCTTGCCCTAACTTCGTGCCAGCTTTGCAGCCCTCGCAGCTCTGTGTGAAGCAGGAGCCCCGAAGGACAGTCAGCTTCACCGCGGGGCGAGATCAGGACTTCTGGAGACACATTTGTTGGAAGCAGCAGCTTGGCACTCGAACTGCTGGCAGCAGCTCTGACCTGCGAGATAGCATCTCTGCTGCTGCCTTCACCCTGCGCCGCTGAGCGCTGCTACAAGATTCGCCTGGTTTAGGGTCCCCGATCAATATCGGATATTCTGACTTTGTCAGAAGCATGTTCAGGAAATGGGATCTCCAAGGCAGGACCCTCCTCTTCCCCCTTCCCACACACACGCCAGCGGCGGTATCGGGCTCAGATATCGCCACAATAAATCACAAGCGCCTTATCGAGGCCGCCTGTCTACTGCCCGAGAAGTTCTCCCATATACAAATCACAAGCCCAGATTACAGAAAAAAAGAGCTTGCCAAAACAAATATTCCTTTCAACTCTTATCCCATTTGCTACGCGAACAAGTGTTCCTTCCTCAAGGAGGAAGATTTTCATGCACCGAGAGCTCACGCTGCTGCAGATCGGTGCGGCTCATGATGCCAGGCAAAGATCTTCCAAAGAAACCCCCCCAAAAAGAGCCACGGTTCAAGTTTTGAAAACTCCTGTGTGCTTGTCGAGATCCTTCATATCAGCGTCACTGCAAACTTGTGCTACCCCCTCCTCGGTCAGAACTTGGTGCAGGAGGAGCGAGGGGACTTGGGGCACTTTGCTGGGTGTTTGCTCACAAGGTGCCCCCGCAGGATTCGGGGCCTTGGCTGGAGCCCGCTCCCGCCTGCAGCCCCAGCCAGCGTTTGTTAATGCTTTCAGTGATTGCATTTGGAAAAAATCAAGCGGTTAACCAGAGGAGGGGGAAAAAGTTTCAGGAATCAAAATCCAGCATGTTTTCAATTATGTCTGTCTGTTAGGACCGGAGAACAAATACAATCCCAACCCAAACACAAACCAAGCGGCTTCGGGGAAAAAACACGGGTTGTAAATACACAGTAACCTCTTCGAGCAAGAAAGAAATTCGCGTTCAGGCCACAAAAAAAAACCAACAGAAAGCGAATGTGGAAGGACAGCAGAAGGCAAGTTATTCCTAGACAGGTCAGCTGTGCGGGCATGCTGCTTCCCTAGCATCCCCTTGGAAAGAAAAAAAACCAAACCACAGGCACCACAGCGCTGACACCCAGAGCGTAAGCGAAGCCGTGCGCGGTGTGGGCGGGAGGAGCCACAGCCTACCTGGAAGAACCCGGGTGGGATGGGGCCCCCGGGCATCCCGTCGTTCGGGGGAATGTTTCCAAGCACGGGACTCGGGGCGGCAGCTGCGCTCTGCGGGGAACAAAACGGGGACAGACATGGTAGGGCTGAGTTAGAGTTAAGGGAAAAACAAGACATGAAAGAAGCTATCTCTCCCGCCATGCCACAGCGGCTCCATAGCCCTGGGCGTCGCTCTCCGTGCCCCGGGCATCTGTCCCTGTGTCCCCAGCATCTTCCCCCCACCAGGAACAAGCAGAGGGTGCTTGGAGCTGAAGGGGCACCAGCCTCTGCGTTTCACCCGTGGAGAAGATGGCTGCACAAAACCTGGATATAATTCTGGGGCTTATTTATTCATTTACCCAGGCATTTAGTCTCGTTAATCCACTGAGGAGCCTCATCCAATGCATCACTTCAGGCACAAGCTGTTTTAAGGCTTTTTAAATGCTTCTCTTACCCCACACCCCCCTTCGATGGTTCAGTTCTGTCCTCTAAAAAAGATGCCTCCCAGATCTCAACACCATGCCAAGGTTTTATTATGAATTTCCAAATTCTTTGCACCCGATCTGTAGGGTCACACCCCCCTGCACAACTCCGCAGGAACAGCCACCCAAGTGGCTCCAGCCCTGAAAAGGAGGGATGGGGGTAAGATGGGGGCCCCAGAAATCCCCACTTGCTCCTGCTCAGCAGCATTATTCATATTTACTTCCTCTCTGTGAGGTACATGGATGGACAAAAGAGGTTTTGCTGGTGCGAGGAGCAGCTCCAGCAGCGGTGAGGGAAGGGAAGCATGCACTGAACCACCTTGGGAAAGCACCAGCATGATGGAAGCTCCTGCCCAGAAGGAAAAAAGAACATCTTTCCCCAAAGACCCCTGCTGACACACGTCCCTGCTGGGTTAGGAGTGGTACCTGTGCTGCTCAAGTGCACTCGCATCTAGCCATCACCAAGCAAACCCCCATTTACAAGGGAGCCTCGGTGCTATTAACTGGGTTTGGCTCACTGAATTTTTATGATGGACTACCAGAACCATGTGGCAAGGCTGAGGAAAATCATCCACTATGAAAAATATTGGTGGAAAAATTTTCCACCAAGGAAACACCACAGGCAGAAGGGGTACCTGAGCCTGCTCAGGCTTGGTTGCACCTCAAAGTCTGGAGCACCCCAACCTCACCAAACCCCACATCCTGAGAGCAGACTAGCCAGCCCCAGCCACCAACCATGTCTGATGAGGCAAAGACCGTGAGATGTAAGCAGAAGTGGGAAGCTGAGATGTCAGGACTTAGGCAGCCTGGAAAATTAAGGATTATCACCAAGCACTAAGGCGTACCAAGGTGGGACCCCAATATCTGGTTGGGAATCTCACTGTTTCGGACCAGAAAGCCTTGCAGAAGCAGGCGAGCACCAGTCTTGTGCTTTCCTGAGGCCAATCCCTTGTGACCCCTCCATCACACTCTCCAGCAGGAGCTTGTGTGCAGGATGAAGGCCAGTAACACACCAGACGAGCAGTTGCTTTTCCCACCCCAGCACCTGAGAGCTGCAAGTGCCGGAGACGACAGCACAGGACAACTCCCCAAATAGAGACCCCCTCTGTAAAATAACCGGGGTCCTCCTGTGGCTACTGAGTCCCATGCCCCTGGGGAACAGCCCACGCCACACTCCCCCTGTGCCCTGACCAAGGCATCCTGAGCAGCCTTCCCTACATCAACAGCAAAGGCCAGATCTGAGTGTTTTTACAGTTAATAAAAAAAAAGTCCTGGCAGGAAAAATAAGCCTGCCCATTCCAGGCTCTTTTTATACATCAGACGGCAGCAAAAATAGACGGGAGAGGGAGTGAACCCAGTTCTCCCCCTCCCTCCATCCCCCCAAGTGGGTCAGCTATAAAAGTAAAACCAAATCTTAATCCAAGGCCATGAACATATTGCAGTTTCTCTGCAAAGCAGATGACGGTTCTTAATGCAAAAATATATAAGACCGAGCCCCAAACTGCAGCGAGCCCATTTGGAATTTCCTTTATTAAACCCTCTATCACGCAAAACGCTTCTCTCCCAAGGCGGCAAGCGCTGCAATAAAGCTGCCAAGGTGATATTTTATGGTTTCAAGAGATTTCCAGCACACCATAATCCTTTGCTGGGGGAATCTCCCAAAGCGAAATGGATCCTGAAGCAGCACGGAGCGAGCGTGGACACGTATCCTGGGGACCTAGGGGGAAAGGACGCTGCCCTCCTCCCTCCCTCAGCAACAGGGGGCAGAGGGCAAAGCAGCCGAAGAAAATCTTGAAGCAAATGCCCATTTTTCCACAAAACCACAGAGTATTTTTCCACGTTAAACACCCCGAAACCTCACCTATGCCTTTGCGGCGTAAACGGGGATTTAAAGTTCCTCACACATGTGGCGCTTGGCAGAACTCGGTAATTAAAAACCCACAAGTGCCCTGAGCATATTGTAGGATGGGAGCCAAATTGGTCAGCCCTTGATGAATGATTTACAAGGCTGTGAAGTGACATTTTATTTCTTTTTTTACTCCCCTCCCCGTCCCCGCCGCAAAGGTAAACACGGAGGCACCTTTAGCCTCCCACGAGCAATGGGAGCGCAGCCGTGCCTGGAGCAGTGCTGCAAAACCTTTGGAGAGCACCAAAAAATAAAGGAAAAGGGGGGGAAAAAAAAAAAAGACTGTGGGAACAAATTTCCCAAACCTTGAAAGGCAGCATGCAAACCTCAAAAGTCAGCCCCAAAACTCCAAAGATTTTCCAGCATCCATTTCCAGCAAACCAGGACATTTTGGCCTTGCGAGCTTCTCCCCCACCTGGCTTATTTTCATCACTTTGGCTCCAAAACTCTTTTTAGGGACTCCATAGATTTCAGCTGGAGTTTGCCCGCCAAGCCCCTTTCACGACGTGGGTATCTAAAAGCCCCCAAGCACTCCCAGTGAGGGCACAGGCAAGGTGGAGAAGCCACAGAAGATGTCAGGGGCACAACGCTCCCCTGTGCCACCACGTCCAAACTGGTGCTGATCCAAAGGTGTGTCCAGCTACATGAAGATCCCCGTTGGCACACGACGCCTCAAATTTCCTTCCACCAAGGAAGAAGGTCTCTCTGGAGACTGCTGCTGGAGAAAAGCAAGGACAGCTCTGGCACAGCCAGAGTGCTAGCTCTTTTGCCTTTTATTAATGGTAAATTTCCTCCATGCTGGAAATAAAACACAGTTCCCAGAGCACACATATATAGCCATACACACACATACCTATTTTCTCCCCACTTAGGCTGGATTTTTCCCCCGTTTTTGGTGGCAGGCCGTGGAGCAAAGGCAATCTAGATCTGCATTCCCCTTCCAAAGCGAAGCTCTCCGTTAACACACCGGCTCGGTACGCCAGCAGATGCCGTCTAAGCCTTTAAATCGCACACTAATTGCACTAATTGAGCTAACAGTCTCTGTTTCGTCTCCCTACCCTGAGTCAACCAGCATCTTCTGGTACTGCTGTAGAGATCCAAGCTGTTGACTGTAGTGTTATTTTGTCAGCCATTAAACGATTCATCAGAGTCATTAATTGATTTATTACTGCTGTCTGCGAGTATAGCTTTGCAAATAAAGAAGGATGGAGGTCAGGAGGCAATGGAAATCGGACAAAACAGCACAGCCAGGAGCTGGACACTTGAATCAGCAGTAGGAGCCTGCTCACACAAGGCTGTTGGCATCAGATTATGGGGGGAAAAAAATGGGGAAAAAAGGAAAGATGTGACCTTTAGCTGTGCTGACAAACCAGTTAGGTTTTCCAGCTAAAACCTATGCAGGATGTAAACGGGCTACTAAAACCAGCTTGTTTTATTAACCTCATCCTTCGGAAGAACCCAGGTTATTCCGCTGGATCAACTGTGCTGAAGAGCAGCAGGGCAGAGGCACCGGTGTGGGGACACCGAGCAGCTCCCCGGCCTTCGGAGCAGCCCGAGCACCCCAAACTGCCCCACCAGCACTTCACTGTCACCCCAGTCTGCTTTCCCAGCGGGCTGAGCTGGGAACACAACTCGCCCCCGCTCGTCCCGCAGCCCTGGGAGGAGCCGTGGAGCAGTGCTGTTATTTATTTACTGTCTTTAGCGTGGAGCTGAGTCCCTGCTAGGCGTGAAGGTTTGCCCAGAGCTGGGCGCGGCGAGCCGCTTCCTGCCCCCCGAAAGCAGGCCCGACCCGAGGGGAGCTGGGAGGCACCACCGAGCCCGAGAGGATTCCAGGGGCTGCATTTGAAGAACCAGAGCAGCCAGCACCGAGCCGCTGGGATGAAATGGTTGTCAGCGACAGCACGCCACTGCCCCCAGCCCATGGGTGATAAAAGGCAGTGCCTAACAAGGGATGGTTTGGGAAGCTGCAGTGGGATTCCCTCTCCTCATCCTCATCACTGGATGAGCCTGAGCTGCCTCCCAGAGCATCTCAAAGGTGGGCTAAGGCACTGCACCCTGATGCATCCCATCCTGCAAGGCTCCCAGCATCACAGCAAGCTGATACCCTGCGGGGTGGCAGGGCAGCAGCCGAGCCCCAGCTTGCCACCTGCCCAAACCTGCCACGCTTCACCACACAAGCCATGGTTTCTATTAACTATGGAAAGCAGGCTCCCATCAGTGGTATTTATTCTGCTGTTAAACACCAGCCAGTGTCCCCAGCAGGCAAGCAGCTTCAGCTCACACAGGCACCTGCCCAGCTCACCCCACAGTCTCATGGTAGGTGTTCACCAAATACTTTTTTTAAAAATAAAATTAACCTCTGAACAGCGGGGGTAGGTGCTGGCAGGCAGCAGGGAGGATGCTCCCTACATGGGAAGCTCCACCAGCCCCAGCCACTCTGCCAGCCCCAGCCTCCATCAACCCAGCAGTGACATGGGGAGAGCAAAAACCGAAAACCAAACTAGGGAGGGTTGGACATCCACTTTTTTGGCTCAAGATGACTTTGTCCTCGCTCTCCTCTTTAAAAGAGCGGACCAGAGGATTTGGGCTGCATCCCACACCTTGCAGCCACAGCGGGAGCAGCACAAGGCACTGCCTCTGGTACGAGCGTGCCGGGATGCTCGGGACGCGTTGGTGATCT